TTAGGAGGCCACCCCGACGCTTCAATTTTCAATTTAAGGTTGGCGTTCACATAACCTGAAAAAAGACCTGCATTCGAGTTATCAACATGGGTGGCTTTAGGATCAAATTTTGTGACTTCTTCAAACACCCAACACTCGTGAATTTTGACAATCTGATAGCCCTTTTCCAAGGCTAACCTCACTTCGTCGACAACCCAACTCCCCTTGATCATCCTCTCTTCAGGGGTGTGATGACATGGTGCCGTATTCTCGGAATCGCATGTCTCCCCACACGTCCTACACAAAATAAACATCAATTTGTTGTGCATGTGCAAAGGTAAGACAGGATGATACAAATCTTGAGGGGGCAAGATTGTCAACTTGATGAGGCCATCGAAATCATTGGGGTGAGGGCAATCAGGAAACACCTTTCTGGTCGGAGCACCAAGCGGATACTTCCCGAACTTATTTACAAAGGGGTAAAGTGATGTAACGTCCACATAATGAATCTCTTCATTGACTTGGACGGCATGATACCGCTTCATGTTATTGCATCTCCCCCCGTAGAAGCAATCTCTGGGATTTAGGGGTTCTTCGTACTCCACTGGGTGCTCAGTCAAAAATCGTTGCACTGTTGGGTCTTCTTGTTTTCGTCTCTCCCACTCACACTCCCACATCTCTACAACCTCATACCCAAGAGACTCAAGGAGCTCTCGCTTCTCCAGGGTTTTTCTGTAGCGATCTCCCATCGTCTCCTTCTCATTGATAACGGCCGTTTGGATGGGGAAGCATGGTGGGTGACCGTGGAAGTAGCAGCCCTGGAATTCAAAGGCCAGTGGTTTTCCGTTCTCGCCCTTAGGGTGATACCCGTCAAGTTTGTACTTGCTTGCTCTGTGCTCTTTTGAGTTTTGAGCGTGCTGGATATCAATCTGGCGGGTATGGGCCTCATAACGTAGCCATTCCACGGCCACTTTCGACTGTACATCTTCAAAGAACCCTCCCCGAGGTATGATGCATATTGATCCTGCTTTGAGGTAGTTTGCCTGAAAGTTGAGCATGCAGGCACCAGCAAGTGTGTTACACTCTCTGAAAGGGTCAATTTCCGCTGTCTTCAGCCACAGGTCACGGTACTTGATTACCGCTCTCCTGAGCACATCAACATCTGCTATACAATAAGCCACCAGCTCTTCAGCAAAATTAAATTCCTTGTCCTGTTGTTCTGCGTGCCATGCTTCAAATTTTTCTCTTTCGCTCACACTCATCTTGTCTACACCATACATCTCTGGAGAGGGTATCTTTCCAATATAATTTTGATTCTCCAAGCGGTTAAAAAAATGAGGAAAATGGCCTTTTTTGACACCTTCCCCTAAATCAAAAGCTTTGGGCAGCTTAGCTAATGACATCGGCATGAACAAAAGCGTATCAACAAATTTGAATCTGGAATACTCTATATTGATCAACTTGGTCCCCCTTTGAATGAACTTAGGGGGTCCATGACCTGATTTCGGTCTGTCACACAAGTAGCTCATGATGAAAGCCCCGTCAAAGCCCCCCATGTTGTGAGCCAAGACGATGACTTTCTTAAATCTGGCCAAGGAGACACTGTTGAACAGGTAGCCCATGAACTGTTCTACACAGTTGTCTCCCTTGAAAATTTGTTGCCTCACGCCACAAAACTTGCAATCCTTGGCTACGTCGTTTTCGGCCATACATTCCGGACAAGCTGTTTGGGATACGCATAGGTTCGCTTCATGAACCCACACGTTTTCCTTATTCTTGTAGTTGGTCTCTTGCCGGGTTTCGAGGTCGTAGACGACGTAGACAAAGGGCTTCTGTTTTGGCTTCTTCTTCTTCTCTTCTTTCTTCTTCTCTTCTTTCTTCTTCTCTTCTTTCTTCTTCTCTTCTTTCTTCTTCTCTTCTTTCTTCTTCTCTTCTTTCTTCTTCTCTTGGGGTCTTGAAGGACCTGGTTGCGGCTGTTGCAGCTGCTCTGGTTTATCTTCTTTTTCTTCTTGTTGCTCTTCTTGTTGTTCTTCCTCTTCTTCTTCTTCTTCTTCTTCACTACTCTCATCCACCTCGTCAAAATACCCACCAAGTGCATCCAGCAAGTCAGGTTTACCTCGAGGTTTTCGAGATTGCCCTCCTCTCTTGGCCTCCCTCTCTGCTTTCTTTCGGGCCTCTTTTTGCATGAGGGTTTCCTTTTGCTGGATTGTACACACGTGGCCTTCACGAGTGCAGACATTTTTACAATTGTGACAATAGAACTCTTCACAATTGTGCTTAAACTTCTTGTCCCTCATGTTCACTTGTGTCAAGCACTTTGTACAAAATTGCCGTACTTGACACACTGTGCGATCTTCACTGTAGAAAGGGGCTTGCCTGTGCCTATCGTAGCATGTATTATTATAAAATGTAAAGCTGCACACCTCACATTTTTTGCGATAGCGAGGTTGTACAGGACACAGTGCTTTTTCTACTCCAATGCCATGACATTTCCTGCAAGCGTCCAAACACACATGGTGACCTGTATTGTCGTAGGCCTGCCTACATCTGAAGCAATACTCTTTTCGCCCAGTAAAGCCTGTCATGGACCGGATGACCGCAAAGTGCTTGAGTTTGGTGGAATAGTACAGTGTGATGCGTTTTTCTTTTGCCTCAACCGTCTTGTTCCCCTCAAACATAACATCCTTACCAACTCTGTCTGTAAAGACAAGGATATTATAGTCCTTCAGCTGTGGGGATGCGGCAAACTTCTGCAACTCTGGAATCCCACACATCTTAGTTGGATCAACATTTGCCTCTCGGCACAGCTGGCTAATATTTTTTCTTTGTTGCTTTTGAACGGTGAGAAGTTTCTGTCCAGCTTTGGGGTTTTCTAAATATGCCTTGGCGATAACAAGAGCCCTTGGCAGACAATTATTGTCTGCGCTGGACCACTCCAACAAACTTATCACGGAGCATTTGTTTTGTAAAAACACACGATCGTCAGCAGTTTGTGCTCCTGGGCCTCCACCGCCATTCGGAGCAACACATCTCAAAAAGTTGACCTTGACCACCCCTTGCAAAAACGTAGCCTGATTGCTCTGGCTCATCTTAGCAATCTGGTCTAGCACAACATCAGGGTGTAGTGTGCTTTTGGGGCGGATAGCAATGCAGAAGGGACTTGTATGATCATTCCCTTCGACTTCGATCTCCAGTCCCACACGGTCGTCGTCATTTGCTTCGTGATAGGTTTGGTTCAAGATTTCCATGATAACGTCGTACACCCAGGTATTAAAATCAACGTTCGGTGCAGGTGGCAAGATGCGGTATTGTAGCTCGCTGTAATGTGTTTGAAACTTGGCGATGAAGCGTTGTCTTTCACCGAGTTTTTCAATCAACGGCCCCCCACCATTGCCAACTTGCACGATCTCATCTTCTTGTTCTACCTGCACTTCTTGTTCTTCTTGTTCTTCTTGTTCTTCGTGTTCCTCTTCTTCTTCGTGATCTTCTTGATCTTCTTCTTGTTCTTCTTGCTCTTCGTGTTCTTCTTCTTCTTCTTCTTCTTGCGCTTCTTCTTCTTCTTCAACGGCATGGCTCCTGTCGCCCACCTCTTCACTTGACGAGGCGGCGTCATCATCATCATTATTTGTCACATTGCCTTCCTCACCAGAGTCCACGAAAGGCTCCTGGCTACCGTCATGAGCTTCAAATCGGTTTTCGTCGTCGTCGTCATCATCATCATCACCTGCTCCATCTTCAAAGGTGACCTGCATGTCTTCTTCTTCTTCTTCTTCTTCTTCTTCTTCTTCTTCTTCTTCAAGCGACACAAGATCAATCGTGCCGTTGTGGTTGTCTTCAGCTTCCCATTCGTCATCTGCATCTATGTCATCACCAAAGACCACAGGGAAAGCTTCTTCCTCTTCTTCTTCTTCTTCGGAAGACACCAAGTCGATTGTCTCATCTACATCAACGCCATGTATGTCGTCTTCCAGCATCATTTCCTCGTCAGAAATGTAGTTGATGGAGTCCGACCAATTCATCATGACGTGGAATTGGGCATCAGGAATCGAGACGTCGTCACAAGACATATACACCTCATCCCCTGACGCTTCGGAAACCTCTCGGCCTGAATCATATAAGACGACAGTCTCGGCCGAATAATCCATGTATTCTTCTTCGTCATCTGATTCAAGGCCGATGGTCGATGCAGAATAATTGGGATACATTGATGTTTCTTCTTCTTTTACTTCTTTTTCTTCTTCTGTTTCTTCATCATCAGTTAGCCTGAACCCAATAGGCTCCAACATGAGCCTACAATTACAATCCGCTAGAACGTGACCCTCACATTCCTCTAAGTCCTGACACATCTCGCATTCATCCTCTTTGTGGCCCGCACAGAGTAAATTAATCACTACTGAAGGAGGTGGAGAAGAGGGGGGAGAAGAGATGGGAGAAGAGATGGGAGAAGAGGGGGGAGAAGGAGGTGGAGAAGAGGGGGGAGAGGATGGGGGAGAAGATGAGGAAGAAGAAGATGAAGATGGAGAAAGAGGTGGGTGAACTTGAGCTCCAACCTGCAGCACCGGAGTAGAGCAATGCTCTCGCCCGGGGTTAAAATTGTCCTCAGCAGGTTCTCCACCCGCTTTTTCAATTTGGCTGCACACACCCATGACAGCTTGTGTGTTAAAAGCATCGTCGTACATCATGTTTCGTTCAACATCATTGCATACCTGCACGACAGCTTGAGTGTGAAAGGCATCGTCGTACGGGTTCACTAGTGGCTCTACATGGTTTAATGTGGTGTCGCCTACCGTGTCAACACTCCACAAAGAGCACTCCTGCACTGATACGTTTGAGTTATTTTGGTTCATGTTAAAAATGTGTTAGCTGTAAAACATAAGAAGTTTAAGTTAGATATAAAATGGAGATAACAAAGATAACACTCAAATATCGTTCGCTCGATGTGTATGTAGAAGTGTGTGTGTTTGTGTGTGTGTGGGTAGGGGCGATTATGAGGTGTTCTTAAATTGTAAAATAGAGAAATATATTTGTTAAGCTATTTATTCAAAATTGACGCCGTTTATACATCATATGATTTCTTTACGCTAAGATGGCCACTGTGTACGCCATTATCTCGCCTCGACAGACAGGGCACCGCACCATTTTCAGCGAACACCTTCTGCATGTGACCAGATGCCCGCACGGTAGAAACAGGACAGCCACCTCCTCGTCGAGACACACTTTGCAAGTGATTCTTGGGTCTTCTGATTTTTGGGCCTTCGTCTGTAATAAAACATAAGAACACAATGAAAGGGGCCCGAAGTCATAACTGAAAGGATAATCGTAGGAATGGCGCCATCTTACCCCTTCCACTGGTTTCAAACTTTTAGTTACAGCCGTGACGAAATCTTTTCCTTTTTCACAAAGAAGAAAAGGACATCTCGAGAAATATTTTGCGTGTTCCACCCACGCATTATCTTCCTTCGTCCATCCCCTCAGCGACCCGCCGCACGAAAAACATGTAGTTTTATCCTCAGTCGCTGGCGGAATAAAAAACACACTCGTTAAATACATCCATCTACAAATTTACATTAATGCTTTATTGGATAATACTCACCACCACCAATGTTGAAGAATCCTGCCTCAGCCAATGCCTCTCCCTTGATGGTGTCCTCAAAGCCCCATTTTTTGAAGGAGTCGAGCCTTGCCCCTTCGTCGATGTACTTGGGGTGTCTGTGAACGCGTGCCAGCATGATGTTAAGATCCAGTAGGCACGGATTTTCAGGACACACCATTTCCACTATTCCCCGAGACACAAGCTCCGGGGCCTGCAACTCCGGAAGCGGGGGAAGCTCGCCCTCCGCCAAGGGAACATTGTCTGTTGCCGTGCCATTGACCAACTTGCACCACGATGAGAATTCACTATGATCCAGCATTGGTTCATCGTCACGCGTCCAGTTCCCAATCAATACCATACAGAACGCACAAACACAATCGTCTGCATTGCCCGTAAAAAAAAATCCACTGGCAGCGAGCTTTCGTACACATGCCGAGTTACTCAGAAACCCCTTGAAGGATGCCAATCGCGCCGCCTCACTGAAGTAGTTTGGGTAGCCTGCTATTTCTTGCAGCCTCATGTCGAAACCGCCTACAAGAAGCATGTCTTGAGCCATTTCTGGACGGGTGACGATCGACGCTGCAAAACATGAATAAATAATAATTACACATTTATAGAAACGTATCCATTAATGTCAGAGAGGTTCGATCGCCCGTTACCTGTGAGTATGAGAACACGTGTGTGTGTGTGTGTGTGTGTGTGTGTGTGTGTGTGTGTGTGCGTGTGTGAGAGAGAGAGAGGGAGAGAGAGAGAG